ACAGTAAATTTGAGACAGTGAGTCAAAGTAAATTTGAGACAGTGAGTCAAAGTAAATTTGAGACAGTGAGTCAAAGTAAATTTGAGACAGTGAGTCACAGTAAATTTGAGACAGTGAGTCACAGCAACTTTGAGACAGCGAGTCACAGTAAATTTGAGACAGTGAGTCAAAGTAAATTTGAGACAGTGAGTCATCGTAAATTTGAGACAGTGAGTCACAGTATATTTGAGACAGTGAGTCAAAGTAAATTTGAGACAGTGAGTCACAGTAAATTTGAGACAGTGAGTCATCGTAAATTTGAGACAGTGAGTCACAGTAAATTTGAGACAGTGAGTCAAAGTAAATTTGAGACAGTGAGTCAAAGTAAATTTGAATCAGTGAGTCACAGTAAATTTGAGACAGTGAGTCACAGCAACTTTGAGACAGTGAGTCACAGCAACTTTGAGACAGCGAGTCACAGTAACTTTGTTTCATGAAAATGCTGTTAAAAGCAGACAGGGGTTTGCAAGGTATTCTTAAACGTTCCCACAAATCTTATAATAAAATATCATTTAGACGTTCATCAGATCTGTTAAAAACATGATATATTACCGGTTCTGAGTGTGGCATTCGTTGTGGTAGACCACTATCTCCCATGAATGGCTGCCGCTCTCTCGGATAAGGGTAGCCACCACTATGTCTGGGTGGTGGTGGTGGTCCTGTCATTGGTCCTGGCATCCCACCTTGACGAGGTGGTCTGGCACCGGGGTATGGGGGTCTGGCACCGGGGTATGGTGGTCTGCTCCCTGGATATGGTGGTCTGGCATTTTGATATCCTGGAGGCTGCTGTGGTTGAGAATATCTAGGTGGGCCTGACATTGGTGGTCGACCGTGAGAAGACATTGGAGAGTAAGATGGTTGATACATAGATCCTGTCAAAAGATAAAAGATTACAATTACAACATGGCCACTATTTTAAAGCTAGTTTCAGTGCTAAGATGAATAGGTATATAATTACTATACTATATGTATAATCATCAGATTACTAAATACAACTTGATTTTAAATTTATGTTTTAATTATGAAATAAGCAGCCATGACTTTCTATTGAGGAATTGTAATTGACAAAAGTAGCTGATCATTTCTTTGAAGTTGGAAGATGATGACAGTTGCATACCTGGTGGTCCTGGATGCCTGGACTGGGGTGCACCCCATGTTTCTTTCATTGGTGGTCTATTAAATGTGGTTCTATACTGATATGGTTGGGAAGGATGCTGTAAACACACAAATAACAATTAGACAATTAAATTCAACCGCATGCGCAAACTCTTGAAAATTTGTTGATCAAATGAGTTCTTGAAGCATCCAGCTTTTAATTTTATTGTATTTTCTGCAGAAAAAAGAAGATGGTTTTCGTCAACATCTGTCACATCGTACTTTATTAGAAGTGTATGTAAGCCGCAAATAAAGTATACTGAATTATTAAACATTTTGACCCACAGACAAACCTGCCATTTACATAAGCCCATGCTTTTTTAAAGGTGCAAATATGATAGTAGATCACCAGCCAAACAATCCACTGCAAAGTCTAAGGTCAGCTGAACACCGATGCTTATTAGTACAGAGTAGGATGTCTGGCGCCCTCAAACTTACCTGCTGCATTACAGATGGCACTGATGTTTGGTAAGATGGTCTGATGGATTCTGATAGCAGCGATGGAGGATACGATGGTTGGCTTGCTGACGGTGACATGCTGGTCCTATCCCATCTTAATGCACCTGAAAATGAACCATCAACTATGAAAGAGAATAGAAAATCAGAATGGGAAGTTGTTTGTCGTGTTTACTGTAAAAAGAACATTTTCAACTATACATAAACATGAATTATACAGTCTAGTAGCCTCCAGAGGGCACCCATGCTGTTTCTAATAGGGCTTTTACAGAAAGATTATAACTCAACTAATAGAACAAATACAGTATATGTACAAGTGCAGATAAATCAGCAAGTGCAATGTCAAGGTCACTCTTTATTAAATAATGCTATGCCTATCAGCAATAGCCCCAACCTATAGAGGGCAGTAGAATGGGTATCTGATGTCAGCTATATTCCCCACCAAGTGACAGGGGCATGATTAATTTTACTCTTGTTCTGCATTGCACTGCCATTCTTTTAACATTTGACCTGAGTACAATAGATCATTATTTGGAATACTTGCTATTCTATCTAGGTACTGGAGTTTTCTGACAACATTCAGCATATGTAACAACACAAAAACAACACAGAATTACTTTTTTAGTTATAAACTAACAACTGATTTTTTATTGAAAAATTATTAAACATTGATATCAAAATATAGATCAGTATACAACTTAAAAAGTATCAAATATAAAATTAGCTGAGTACAAAGTTAGCTGGCAATGCACTT